TTTACTCTGGATTGTGAAGAGTTTTTCCCCCTACTAAATGACATTGTTGCATATTATACCATCACCTTATATAGACCAACACATTTATTACTAGAATTCCTAAAAAATGAAGGAACAAAAAAAAGTAGTACTAGAGCAAAGTGTAGGTACTTATATATTTATTATATCATAGCTTAAAATTGTTATAAAAACTCATAAGACAACATTAACAGACTCTTGAGGAAATACTCTAATAGTATTTCTTCTCATAGAGTTGCTTTAAGATTTCAAGAATTTAAACATAAAATGAAAACATCGCATAAAGGGTCACATAAAAATTCAAGTCTTAGCACAACTTAAATTACAATCTCAGAGTAAAAAAGAAACATGAAACAAATGTAAGGATGGTAAAAAATTCTGCTTTCCAACATGGTTATGAAATGTAACATTCAAGTTATTCATATATGAAGTCCCATTATAGTGTCTTTTTTTAAATTGCTGTCTTTTATAACATGAATAGATGGCCAATTTCCAAGTAATTAGGAAAAACAATTATACTTGTCAACAAAACTATTGTAAACACAAGTCAGGCTTGCTTTGAGACCCAGAAGCTATTCTCATGATGCTTAAGGTCATTTATCAGGATTTTTTTCATTAACAGAACACAAAATAATCCAGATTCAATCACTGTTTCTTTCTCTTTCCCAGCTATCCCAACAGTTATGGTATCATTCTTCCTGCTTCCCTACAAAAGCATTCTTTTTTCCTGTCCTCCCCCATTCCCTATCTCCTACCTGGCTCTGTTCTGCTCTCACCACCAGGCCTTTGCCTCACATCTAGATGATGACTTCATTCTATTCCCCAATTACATGCTTCTACGGGCTCTTCTCTAGTGTCACTCTCATACTGATTGTTCCAAACATGTATTTTATATGGTCCAGAACCTTCAAGAACTGCATCCTATTTAAACTTAGCTCATTTTCAAGGTATCATAATCTAACTCAGTTTACTTTCCCAATTTATTGTTTATTACTCCCCCAACAAATGCCTTGGGAAACAGTTGTCCAAGCCTGTGTACTAAATTTAACCCAAGCACACAACGGTTATTCTTACCTCTTTTGGAACTTACTACAACTAAAATCATCATCATCATTATCAACAACAGTGAACACATGTATTACTTAGTATGTACCAGGCAATGTCATAAATGCTTTATACATTTTAACTCACGTAATCCTCACAATACCCTTGTGAAGTAGATGTTGTTGTCATCATCCTCATTTTACGGAAGGTCCAAAGTAGTCAAGTAACTCAAGCGAGGTCATACAGTGAGTAAATAGCAGAGCCAGAATTCAAGCCAGGCAGTTTGGTTTCAGATTCTAACTCAACCACTGTCTATATGCCTCTTCATAACCCATTAGTTCAATGTACTCATTGTCAGTAACATAATTAGATATTAATTATTTCACATGTTACTTGTATCTCTTTCATAAATTATGAAATTATACTGAGTGTTTTATTTCTTTTAGAGGCCCCTGAATACTAGAAATACAGTTAGCCTGAAACAAATATTTCCAAGGGAGACCATTTTATTCAAAGTATAAATATTATGAAAACCAAAAATTCAAGAATTATAGTTAGTCAAAAGGTACAGAACCAAGCTTGCTTCGCTGACAAAGTTTTCTGAATCAGGACTTGCCTGTGCCAAGAGCAGTGAGAGGATGAAGACTGGGGTATGGGCTGGGCAGTAGCTATTTGAGGATTTCTGTATCGGAGGGGCCTACAGAACAGCTTTCTGCTTGTGGCGGGGAATGATCAGAGAGTCAGAGTCTTTGAAGCTCTAGTTGCCAAACCAGTACACTTATCCATACGGTAGACTGTATATCTATAAAAGTAGCAGCATTTCCCTAAACATGATCTTACTATTGACAAAAGACTGGGAAAACATAAATAACCCATATTAGTTAAATTATTATTTATTTTTTAAATATGGGAGGAGGGCACACAGCACCTCACCAACCCCTCAAACATTATGGTGCCACTAGGGATCAATCATGCTGATGACCTGAAGGAAGAGTTGAGTTTTGGGGATGCATAAAATTAGAAGAGTCACTTCTCTCACTTTCAAATGAAGCATAAAACTTTTTAAAAGAAAAATCTCTTATTCATGGAAGTACATATATAAAAGTCCAAGACCAGCCGCTTGAATAGAACTCTGGTTTCTTTTTAACAGGGCATGAAGCCAAGCCTTCTATACTCTTCCATACCCTCGAGAAGAGATTCATTCTTTGAGGTCCACCTCAGATGTCAACTCATCTAGGAAATTTTCTTTTGCTTAATTAATCACTCCTTCTTCTGTACTATAATAGCATTTTATAAATATCTCTATTGGGTTACATATAATAACTACTACTTTAAAAATGTGCTGATCTTGACTTCTAGACTGTTACCAACCCAAATGTACGTCAACAAGTGAGCATAAACCAATCTGATACAATCATGCCATTAGTACAACTCAGCAATAAAAGGAACTAATTATTAATTTGTGGAACAGCATGGATAGTGTTCAAAAACATTATGCTAAGCTAGAGAAATCAGACACAAAAGAATACATACTGTTGTCAAGAATTGTAAGATTAGAATGTAGATTGAATGCAGTGCGTAAACTTGTAAGTTTCAGGTTTTCTGGCACAAGACAGGAGACTTCTGGGCCAAAGACAAAGGACTTTATTACTCACAGCAATAGGATTAGCCACATTATTACACTTGCACAGTGAGTTATGTTGTAGGAGAAGAAGGTGGGAGTTATGGGATCTGAAACTATTACAGTGGGCAGGAAGCCTACCTGATCTGTGCCTTACAAAAGCACATTATCTTTAACACACTGGACAACAACAAACCTGCCCTTTTCTCAGGAGGAAGACATTACCTCTAGCTTCCAAGATTATACACTATACCAATACCTTAAGAAAAATAGTCCTGAACAAAAGCAGTCCTACCTCTGCTCACAGACATGCAGAACTGTGAAAGAGTCACAGAGCATTGTCTCCTAATAACTGTATATTTTCACTCATAAAACATTTCTGGAAAGGCAACCTTAGTCTATGTGGGGAAAAAAATCAGAACAGTCATTGTTTGGAGCCAGAGGTGACTACGACTATATAGGATCACAAGGGATATTTCTAGGGTAAAGGGGTGTTATATATTTTATATAGGGTGATGGTTACTTGGATATATATGTGTGTGTATATATATATATATATTATATATATATGCATATATGTCAAATTCATCAAACTGTACACATAAAATTTTAAGTAAAGAATATGTAAATTATGTATGTACAATTTGGGTATGTAAATTAGACCAAAATAAAACTGATATAAAAAAGATGTTGATCATAACTTCTAGACTGCTATCATCTACAAGGAAAGGACTGTGTCTTATTTATCTATTTTACGATTACTGAGAAGAAATTAGCTGAGTATTCTTAGTATGTGTTCATAAAATTTGGTTGCATTGAATTATTAATATGGTATAAAATGGGCCTCTAAGTTATATATAAACCTAATGATAATCTTATATCAAAAACCACTAATAAATATGCAAAGAATAAAGAGAAAGAAACTCAAATATATCACTAAATAAAATCAGCAAAAAAAGAAAGAGAGAAAGACAAGAAAGGATCAGAGAAAATCTTCAGAAACAACCACAAAAGAAGTAATAAAATGGCAATAAATACACATCTACCAAGAATTACTTCAAATGTAAATTGTCTAAATGCTCTAATTAAAAGACATAGGGTGGTAGATGGATTAAAAAAAGAAGACCCATCAATATACTACCTACAAAAAACCCATTTAGACCTAAAGACACATGCAGATTGAAAGTGAGAGGCTGGAAGAACATCTATCGTGCAAATTCATATCAAAAGAAAGCCAGAGTAGCAATACTTGTACTGGACAAGATAAATTTTAAAACAAAGACTATAACAAGAGGCAAAGGACACTATATAATAATAAAGGGACACTTCAACAAGAAGATATAACAATTGTAAATATCTGTACACCCAACATATGAGCACCCAAATGTTTGAAACAGTTAAGGAACTAATTATTAATAAATGAACTAATTATTAATAAAGGAAAATTTAATAAAAGGACTAATTATTAATAATACAATAATAGTAGAGGACTTTAACACACACATACACACATCCAACTTAAAGCAATGGACAGGTCATCTAAACAGAACAACAACAAGTAAATGATGGCTTTGAATGACACACTGGATCAGACGGACTTCACAGATATATTCAGAACATTCCATCCTGAAACAGAAGAATACTCATTCTTTTAAAGTGCACATGGAACATTCTCCAGAATAGACCACACAGCAGCCCACAAAATAAACCTCAACAAATTCAAGAAGATCAAAATCATAACATGCACATTTTCTGACCACAGCGCTATAAAATTAGAAGTCAACCACAAGAACAAACATGGAAAGACCACAAATACATGGAGGTTAAAAAGTATGCTGCTAAACAATGGATGGGTCAGCCAGAAAACCAAAGAAGAAATTAAAAAGGACATGGAAACAAATGAAAATAAAAACACGCCAGTCCAAAACCTCTCGTATGCAGCAAAAAACAGTTCTAAGAGGAAAATTGACAGCAATACAGGTCTATCTCAAAAAGCAAGAAAAATATCAAATAAACTACTTAACCTTGAACCTAAAGGAACTAGAAAAAGAACAACAAATGAAACCTAAAAACCCCAAGAATGAATGAATTAATAAAGAATAGAGCAGAAATAAATGATGTAGAAACTAAAGAAAAAAAAATAGAACAGATCACTGAAACCAGCAGCTGGTTCTTTGAAGAAAAAAAAAAAAAAGTCAATAAAATTGATAAACCCCTAGCCGTGTAATCAAGAAAAAAGGAGAAAGAACTCAAATAAATAAAATCACAAATGAGAGAGGAGAAATAGCAAGAAAATCCACAGAAATACAAACAATCAAGCTTTGCACAGTGGCAGTATCGTAGCCAATGAGGTTTATCTGAGGCGCGATTATTGCTAATAGAAATACAAAAAATCATAAGAGAATGTTATGAAAAAACTACACATCAAAAAATTTCAAAACCTGGAAGAAATGGAGAAATTCCTAGAAACATATAAACTACCAAAACTGAAACAGGACAAAACAGAAAACTTGGACAGACTGGTAAGCAGTGAAGATATTGAATCAGTAATCAAAACACTCCCAACAAACAAAAGTGCAGGGCCAGGTGACTTCACAGATGAATTCTACCAAACATTCAAAAAAAGAATGAATATGTATTCTTCTCAAAATATTCCAAAAAATGGAAAAGGAAGGAAAATTTCCAAATTCATTTTATGAAGCCAGGATTACTTTAATTCCAAAACCAGACAAGGACTCCACTAAAAAAGAGAACTACAGGCCAATATCCCTGATGACCACATATGTAAAAATTCTCAATCAAATACTAGCAAACCAAGCCCAACAATACATTTTAAAAAATCATTCACCATGATCAAGTGGGATTTATTCCTGGGTTACAAGTGTGGTTTAATATTTGCAAACCAATGTGATATACCACATTAGTAAGAGACAGCATAAGAACCATAGGATCACTTTGACAGATGCAGAAAAAGCATTTAACAAAGCACAACATCCATTCATGATAAAAAGTCTTCAACAAAGTAGGGCTAGAGAGAACATACCTCAACATAATAAAGGCCACATACAAAAAAATCACAGCTACTTATCACCTCAACGGGGGAAAACTGAGAGCTTTTCTTTACTGTCAGGAACAAGACAGAGACCTCTACTTTCAACACTCTTAATTTAATATAGTACTGGAAGTCCTAGCCTCAGCAATCAAACAACACAAAGAAATAAAGGGCATCTGAATTGGCAAAAAAGAAACAAAATTCTCACTAATTGCAGATGACATAATACTATATATAGAAAACCCAAAAACTCCACCAAAAAACCACTAGAACTGATACACAAATTAATCAGATAAAAAAATCAACATACAGAAATCTATTGCATTTCTACACACCAATAATGAACCATCAGAAAAGAGAAACTAAAGAATCAACCCCATTAATTACAACAAAAACTGTAAGATACCTATACTAAACCTAACAAAAGAGGTGAAAGACCTATAGTCTGAAAACTATGAAACATCAATGAAAGAAATTGACAATGACACAAAGAAATGGAAAGATATTCCATGCTTATGGATGGAAGGAACACATATTATTAAAATGTTTATACTACCCAAAATAATCTACACATTTAATGTGATGCCTATCAAAACACCACCAGCATTTTTCACAAAGCTAGAACAAACGATCCTAAAATTTGTTTGGGAACTACCAAAGACCCAGAATAGCTAAAGCAACCTTAAAAAAGAAAAGCAGAGTTGGAAACATCAGAATTCTGGGCCTCAAATAATATTACAAAGCTGTGTTGATCAAAACAGTATGGTCCTGGCACAAAAATAGAAACATAGATCAATAGAACAGAATAGAGAACCCAGAAATGGACCCTCAACTCTATGGTCAACTAATCTTTGACAAAGCAGGAAAGAATATCCAATGGAAAAAAGACAGTCTCTTCAATAAATTGTGCTGGGAAGGCCAATTCCTCAGAAAGTTAAATATAGAACTTCTTTATGATCCAGCAGTTACACTGCTGGATATTTGCCCAAAGACTGCCAAAACACTATTTCAAAGGTATACATGCACTCCCAAGTTTATAGCAGCATTATTTACAATAGCCAAGTTATGGAAACAGCCCCAGTATCTATCAACTGATGAATGGATAAAGAAAATGTGGCATATATACATACAATGGACAATCACTCGGCCTCAAAAAAGAACGAAATCTTTCCATTTGCAACAACATGGAGATAGAGAGATAATGCTAAGTGAAAGAAATCAGACAAATGCCATGTGATTTCACTCATATGCAGAATTTAAGAAACAAAACAAAAGTAAAACAATAAGAGAGAGACAAACCAAGAAACACACTTTTAATTAACAATCAGATGGTTACCAGAGAGGAGGTGGGCAGGTGGGGATGAGTTAAATAGGTGAAGGGGGCTTAAGGAATTTACTTGTTGTGATGAGCACAGGGTGAAGTATGGAACCGTTCAATCACTACTTGGTACACCTGAAACTAATATAACACTGCGTGTTAACTGGAATTAAAACAAAAACAACAAAAAATGGATCTCTACGTATTCTCTCTTGTCATAAGTTGCTCTGAAATGCATTTACATTTGAATTTTTTAAATTTCATTTTGATTGTGTTTGTTTATAAATATCGATATGCATGAATATCAAGGAGTCATTATAAATCTGTATTAAAAAATAAATTCTCTAAAGACTACCTTATTTTGATGCAGATTAGTTTTAATAATGTAGTGAGTTGTTTAAAACCATGAGAATTTGGGAGTGCATGGGTGGTTCAGTCAGTTAAGCGTCCTCTTGATTTTGGCAAAGGTTGTGAACCCAGGGTCATGAGATTGAGCCCTGTGTCTTGTGGGGCTCTGCGCTCAGTGGGGAGTCTGCTTGAGATTCTCTCTCTCTCCCTATGACCCTCCCCCTGCTCATGTGTGCGACTGCTCTCTCGCTCTCTCCCTCTCTCAAATAAATAAATACTAAAAAACAAACAAACAAACATGAAAATGTGTGCTAATATTAATAAGATTATTTGGAAAAAGAATATTATTTTCCATATCATAAAGCTGGCTGACTAGCTCCTTTAGAAATACTTTTCAAATGAATTCTCAAAATGAGTACTATAGAAAAATATTTGAAATTTGAAAGCTGCAAGGGCTCCCTCTTTCACCTAACCAATTTAAATTAGGTGAAAATACCTGGTGTCTGTTAGATGGTAATTTAGGCTAGCAAAGCCTAAGGAGCAAAAGTTACATCTATAGTTGCCATTTACAACAGAATTTTAAAACCCTTTCTTTTTAATATATACTTTACTGTGGTTTTTCTAATTTATTTTATAAAGTATGGCTATTTATGTGACTTAAGGGAATTACTTAACCAACATTAAAATATTTCTTGAGAAAGTAAGACAGAAGATTTAAATAAAGCTGAAAAATGGTTTGCCCTCTTAATACATATTAAATTGTAAGTTAAGAGATGCCTGGGTGGCTCATTCAGTTAAGTGTTTGCCTTCAGCTCAGGTCATGATCTCAGGGTCCTGGGATAGAGTCCCTGCATGGGGCCCCTGGCTCAGTGGGGAGCCTGCTTCTCCCTCTGTCTGCTACTCCCCCTGTTTGTTATTTCTCTGCCAAATAAAATAATACATCAAAATAAATAAAATCTCTAAATTGTAAGATAAAAAATTTGTCTTGCTCTTACATTTTTATCATGTTATCCTTTGTTTTTTTCTAGTAAAAACTGGGAAAAAAGGAAAGTAATTCCCACATTTGCTAAATGAAACATACAAGAAACCACTGTATTTTCATTCTTAATAAAATACTGTATTATGCTTGTTAACTCTGATATACAGATAAACCAAATATTTTTGGTTCAGGTCTTAGAGACTGGGCCAACATCTATATTCAGGGATAGATAACTTTTCATTTTGTAGGTAAACTCTCATATGCCATGATATATTTATCATTTACACATCCCTCTAATTATCCACAAATTCAATGATTGTATAGATTAAATATTCATTAGCAATAATATGAGGAAAGTGAAAGCAAAACTCTTTGCAAAAGCCATCAGGACCCAAATGTCATTAATAATTCAAATTAAATTGAAATGCCAATATTTATAATATTAACATTTCACCACTCTATAGTAAAATCAACTTTTCATTATAAGCTCAGAAGCTATTTGATGACTGAGACATTGTTTGTAGAAAAAGCAGAATCAGACCTACAAAATACAGAAAAAAAACTGATGGTTACCAGAGGGGAGTGGGTGGGGGATGGGCTAATGGGTGAAGGGGACTGGGAGATACAGCCTTCCGGTTATGAAAAGAATAAGCACAGAAATAAAAGACACAGCATAGAGAATATGGTCAGTGATACTGTAATAGGATTGTGTGCTGATAGATGGTTAGCTACACTTATAGGACCAGCATAACATACAGAACTTGAATTACCATGTTTACATCTAAAACTAATGTGACATGTATGCCCACTATACTAACAAAATTTTTTTAATTTGAATATTTCCAATAACTGAATTGGTCCACCTAGTTCTGTACTTATGCCATGATCTCATAAGACTTTGTTAAGCCATGGTAGCTATGACTTCAAATATCAAATTATTAAAACTGCTATATCATGCCACAAATATAATCTTCTGCCCTCTAGCCTCTTGATTAGGTTGATTCACACCAAATTGCTGATGTTTGATAGATTCGACCAGCAAAAATGGTAATTTCATGTGACTGAACATAACATAAAGTCAAAATTTACTAAAATTTAGAAGTGATCGACCTTGAACACTGTGTATTCAAAATACATTGTTCCTACAATAGTCTTTTAAAGGCCAGGTTATGTCCATTTTCTGCTTTCTTTCTTGAGCTCTGATAATAAAACCATTGAGTAAATATTTCACAACCAAGTGTCTATATTATCTCTGTTTCCTAACTCACTTTATATGTCCAAGTCCAAGAAGGTGAAACCCATGAGAGTATTACTGTGTTTTTCCTCCTCCGTTCTTAATGGTGACCAGGGTAAAACATACATTGTTTTTTCCCAAGGCAGGACAAATTATTTTTTTTTTTGTCAGATTGCTAAGTTTACTTTCCAGGTGTACATTTTCACGAAATTATCAAGTCACCTTTCAGACTTGGCACACATATCTGTACCTGGAATGGAGAAGTCAGTGGGAAAAAAACCTGACACCCAAATACAAGTGAAATGTTATTAAGTAACTTGTACACAACACAACCTATGCTTTCATTGAATGACCTATACATCATTTTGAATGACTATTTTTAAGTTTCTCAATTCCTCAAAGATAAATAAATCTCTAGGGGTACAAGTTCAATAATTAAAATATTTCCTTCAATGGTATGCTGACTACTAATGGCCAGGGAATATCACAGTTTGTAGCAAAACATGCTTAGTGACACCCAGAGTTAATTA